TCTATAAACCACTTAGAGAGGGCTGAAAGCCCTATGAAGCGGTATATAAGTCTAACTGCTATTGCTATTGCTAAAAGGGAGAGAAGGTAGGATATAACACCAATCAATCAATCAATCAATCAATCATGATTCATTTCTAAAATGTTAACATTCTTCTTAAAATGCCAGGCACAGAAATGAGTGTATGGGTCTGCCCAACTAGAAAAGAATAGCATTTTATAAACTAATGTTAAAATGCATTTAGAACTGAAAAATCAACATATTTTTGAAAGGTGCCAATTTTTTAAATATATATATATATTTCATTGCAAGAGATGTCTTACTTCTAATATAATAATTCTATGGCAACTGTTGTGATTCAGAAGACATTAATAGGAGAGCCAGTAAGGTGTAGTGATTAAGGTGCTGGATAAAAACAAAGAGATGGCAAATTCTAGTCTCGCTTTAGGCATGAAAGCCAACTAGCTGACTTTGGGCCAATCACCAGGTGATGGTGAGCTGTAGTTCTCTCTTAGGCACAAAAAATGACTGGGTAACTTTGGGTCAAATCATTAAGGGATGGTGAGTTCTAGTTCCGTCTTAGGTATGAAAGCCAACTGTGACTCTCTCTCTCTCTCTCAGCCCACCTCACAGGGTTGTTGTTGTGGAGAAAATAGGAGCAGGGTAGATTATTATTAAGTATGCTTGCCATCTTGCTTACTTATAAAATAATGGTGGGATAAAAATGTAATAAATAAATAAATTAAATGTAGAACAATCAAGAAATGCTTCAAAAATGCAGAATCAATTCTAGGCATTGTAGAATAAGGGATAAGAAAGAAGATAACTGAAAGAAATAGTTTTAGGCAGTTGGAATATTTTGTTAAGGGACTGTGATTTTTGCCCTGAAGAAATTAACATCTCTGTGTCAAAAAGCAGAAAAATTATCTGTGAGAATCCACAGAATTATATAATCAAGGAATCTTAGCATGTTGTGATTACTTATTAGCAAAGATTGCATATTGTTATCTGAGAGAAGGAGAAAAGAGATCACACTGGAGTTTTGGATAATCAAGATTTTGTCTAGAGAAAAATATTTTAATGAAGATTTGCAGAAGATATTAAGAGGAGAAATGGTAGCATAATCTTGGGAAATTGTAAAAAAGAATTTTGTGGTATGTGAAAAAATACAAGTTGTCTCCTGATGAGCTATTTTCAAAGGCCAACATTGTGGGAGATACTTTCAAACCATAAAAATCTGCCTTTATGACCTGAAAGGTTTAGATTAGGTTTAGGTTTATTCGGTNTGAGTCAACCCTGAGCCGGTGAGATTTGAACCGCTGAACTGCTGATCTAGCAGTCAGCCTGCAGTGCTGCATTTAACCACCGCGCCACCTTGGCTATCCTGTCACCCTAATCCTTCTTTTAATTAAAGTAGACATATCCAATTCTTGCAACCATTCTGTATATGTTTTATCCTCCCATCCCCTAATTATCTTTTTTTGCTTTTCTCTGCATGCTTTCTAGAGCCTCGACATATTTTCTGTATCATGCTGACCATAATTGGATGCAATATTCCAAGTATGGTTTTACTAAGGTATTTTAAAATGGTATTAACACTTCATGTGATTCTCATTTTATCCCTCTGTCAATGAAACCGAGGATCTCATTGACATTTTTGGCACCTGGAACACACTGCTGGATCATTTTTAAGTAGTTGTCCTCTAGGACTCCAAGATCCCTCTTGCAGTTACTAATATTGAGTCAGATACCATCTATTCTATATCTGTGAATTTGGTTTTTCCTGCCTAAGTGTAAGACTTTACTTTTCTCACTACTGAATTGCTGTGTTCACGTTGGTGAAGATCTTTCTGTCTGCTGGGAGGTTGACTATTCCTGCTAGCTTAGTGCCATCTACTATTTCGTTGAGATTCCGATCTTTCCCCTCATCCAAATCATTGATGAATATATTGAGCAGTACTGGGCCTAAGACAGAGCTTTGTGGTTCACCACTGCATACTTCCCTCCATGTAGATGCGCTTCCGCTCAGGACCACACATTAAGTGAGGTTGGTCAGTCAGGTATGAATCCATCTGGTGGTGATACTGTCTACCCCATATTTTTCTAGCTTATCAAGAAGTAGGTTGTGGTCTTCTTTATCAAATGCCTTACTATAGTCCAAGTAAATTATATTCTCAGCTTTTCAATGATCCACTAATTTTGTCAGATTGCCAAAGAATGCATTAAGGTTCGTCTGGCATGCTGTATTTTTGAAAAATCCATATTGTCTTACAGTTATGACTTCGCGCTTGGTTCTGGGTATTTTCAGATTGCTTGCTTGCTTATTTTTTCCCCAGAATCAATACCTGGGAAGATCTTAGAAAAGATAATCAAGCAACCGATCTGTGAACATCTAGAGACAAGCAAAGTTATATCCGGAAGCCAACATGGATTTGTCAAAAGCGGATCGTGCCAATTTTATTGCATTCTTCGACAAAGTTTTGTCCAAGAAAAATGTTTCTCTGCCAAATGCTGCATACTTAATACAGGCAGTCCTCGATCCATGACCACAATTGGGCCCCAAATTTCTGTTGCTGAGACATTTGTTAAGTGAATTTTGCCCTATTTTATGATGTAACTTGTCATAGCTGTTAAGTGAACCACTGCAGTTGCTAAGTGATTAAGACAATTGTTAAGTAAATCTGGCTTCCCCATTGACTTTGCTGATCAGAAGATTGCAAAAGGGGACCACATGACCCTGGGACACTACAACCATCATAAATATGAGTCAGTTGTCAAGCGGCTGAATTTTGATCATGTGACCATGTGGATGTTGCATTGGTTGTGTGAAAAACTGTCAGTCACTTCTTTCAGTGCCACTGTAACTTTGAACAGTCACTCAATTACCTGTTGTAAGTTGAGGACTACCTGTACAAAAAAGCTAAGTGAAAAACACATGCGTATGTCAATAAACCCCTTAAAATATCTCTTTTTAGTTTCTCCTCTAACAAAAGCTGCTGAATTCTTTATCTGTTTATTTATTGTCTATCAATAAATTTGTTCAAGTTTTACCTTTAACTGTCAAAGCAGCTGAAGTTTTCTGGTCTCCACAAATACAGGTGTAACGTCCAGCGTCCTCAACTTCTAAACCACGGATCACCAACTTGGCGGCAGCTGCTTCTTGTATGAATTGGTATTTGTCTCCTTTTAATTTGTTTCCGTCCTTCATCCATTCCACAGGAGCAGCTTTGGTGAGCTCACAATGCAATGTGGCTGTTTCATTTTCGGTGGCTGCCACATCCTTCAATTCATGTTTGAATTGGGGAGGTAGGGCTGGAGGACATAAGAGCAGGGTGTGAAAATTGTCCAGGGGTAGATGGACTTTGGACAAAGTTTGGTCAGAGGTAGGGGAGAGGAGTCGGTGTGAGGACAAAATTGTGTGTGTCCTGCCTTTTTATATTTCTTTTCCTCCCTGCCTTTCTCACTTTTGTCCTTCCTTCCTTCCTTCCTTCCTTCCTTCCTTCCTTCCTTCCTTCCTCCCATCCTTTCTCCCATCCTTTCTCCCATCCTCCCTGTTCCTTTTCCTTCCTTGTTTCCTTCCTTCCTCCCATCCTTTCTCCCATCCTTTCTCCCATCCTCCCTGTCCCTTTTCCTTCCTTCCTTCCTTCCTTCCTTCCTTCCTTCCTTCCTCCCTCCCTCCCTCCCTTCCTTCCTTCCTTCCTTTCAACTTTAAAAGACAAATCACAGGACATCGACAAACAAGACAAAAAGAAAAACCAGATCTGCCAAATGCAGAACTCAAGATAAATTGATTTACCACAGACTGCCAGAGCCGCAGTGGTTTTCTGGTCGCCGCAGACACAGGAGTATTCTCCAGCGTCTCCAAGATCAAGGTTATGGATCATACACTCTACCACAGGGCCTTCCTGCTTCAAGTTGTATTTGTCATTTGCTCGCAGTGTCTTGTGTTTCTTTTTCCACTCCACCGTAGCTGTTTTTGTCAGCTCACACCGGAGAGCAACAGTTCCACCTTCCGTAGCTTCTTGGTTTTCCAGACCTTTCTTGAACCTTGCAGGAATGGCTGGAAGGGTTCAGAAAGAGGAAAGCAGGTGAATACCCAGATGTTGAAGAAAAGGATCCGGTTGTGGGCCCCATAGATCATTCTCCCACTTTTCTTCCAAGCTCAACAGCAAGATCCATTAGCTTGATGTGTTCTTCTAGAAAATCCCCAAGGAAGGTCCCTCCCAAATTTGTTACAGTAGTCCTCGACTTACAGTTTATTCAGTGACTGTTGTACAACGATACTGAAAAAAATTACTTAGGCTGATTTTCACACATACAGGTGTTGAAGCAACCTAAGTTTCCAAGTTTCCAAGTTTAATAAAATNCAGGCCTTGGGCTAAAGAGCTGTTGCCCCCCGTCTCGAATGGTATGACTGTTGTGTGTTTTTAAATTATGTATTGCTATGTTTTGTCTTTTTATTTTCTGTCTGTACCCCCCTTCCCTGATTTGAATTGTGAGCCGCCCTCTTTGGGGAAAAGGGAGGCATATAAATTAAATCAAATCAAATCAAATCAAATTCATATATAAATCATAGAACGGGATATTACTATTGGAAGGGACCTTGGAGGTCTTCTAGTCCAACCCCCTGCTCAAGCAGGAATCCATTGCAAACAAATGGCTGTCTGGTCTCTTCTTTAAAACCTCTAGAGGTAAAACTGACACATATTTATGATAGTTATAGCATATAGGGGACATGTGATCACTATTTTTGATTTTCCTCGCCAGCCTCTGACCAGCAAAGTCAACAGGGGAAGCCAGATTCATTTAACAACTACCTGATTCACTTAGCAACTACAGTGAATCTCTTCACAAACATGACAAAAAAAATATCTTAAGATTGGGCACAACTCACTTAACAACTCCCTCTCCCTTTCTTTTTCTGTAGTAACAAAATTACAGGGAGTCCTTGACTTAGAAACATTCATTTAGCAACCATTCAGATTTACAACAGCACTAAAAAAAATGACTTCTGTCCAATCCTTCCACTTATGATCGTTGCATCACCCCCATGGTCATACAGAATGATCAAAATTTGGGTGCTTGATAATTAGCATGTATTTACAATGGTTGCAGTGACCCAGGGTTATGTGATCACCATCTGAAACCTTCCCAACCAGCTTTTGACAAGCCAAGTTAATGGGAGAAGCTAGATTCATTTAACAACTGCATTATTCACAGTAAAAATAGTTCTAAAACTGTGTGCAAGTCGGTTAACAATAGCATTGTTTAGTGACAGAAATTTTGGGGCTAATTGTGATCGTAGGTTGAGGACTCTCTGTAAAGTATAAACTTGTTGAGATGTTTAATTTAATAACTGGAGTAGTGAAGGGTGGCACAGTGAGCCAGAACAAAGAGTTGTGGTTGATTAGCTGAAGATAGCTGGCTACTGCCTGAGGCAACCTGAGTTGTGATTTGTTGTTGTGAATAAAAATGGGGAGTGTCCTTGTTTCCCGCCTTTTTTCATCTGTGTGCCCTGTGTGCGCTGTAATTTACCTCAGGATGTTTCTGCTCTGTTTATTTACCTCAGGATGTTCCTGTGTTGATTTACATCCTCATGATGCTCCAGTTTGCATGACAAACTAGTTGTTGTGTATATCTTGATGCAAAACGTATTCACTTGTATAAAACTACGAGTTCATGCCAGCCTCTCTGACTCCATTTGGACACCAGCTGCACAATTCTCCGACAGAATCCCTTTAAACAAACACATACCTTGCACAGATAATGTAGCAGACGTGGTTTGGTCTCCAACGATGCACGAATACTCTCCGCTGTCTTGGGGTTCCAAGTCATGAATGAGCAAATCGCGANTAAAAATCTGCCTTTATGACCTGAAAGGTTTAGATTAGGTTTAGGTTTATTCGGTTTGTATGCCGCCCTATTCCCGGAAGACTCAGGGCGGCTAACAATCAGAAGGGGAAGGGGTACAAAAAGAAACAAAAAGACAAACAATTTAAAAATACAGCAACAGTCATAACCTCGAAAGGGGCTGGAAAATTCAACAGCCCCAGGCCTGCCGGAACAGCCAGGTCTTAGTCGCTTTGCGGAAAGCCGGAAGGGTGGTAAGGGTCCGAATCTCCACGGGGAGATCGTTCCAGAGGGCCGGAGTAGCCACAGAGAAGGCCCTCCCCCGGGGGGGTTGCCAGCCAGCACTGGCCGGCAGATGGAATTCGGAGGAGGCCTAGCCTGTGGGATCTAATAGGTCTTTGGGAGGTAATTGACAGGAGGCGGTCTCTCAAGTACCCAGGTCCGATGCCATGTAGCCATGAAAGTATTGTCCAGCTAGGATTTCCAACATGGATATGGAGTCTTCTCTTTGCAAAGTAAGTACCCATCATAAAATCAAGAACACAGAGTCTGAAGAAGTTGTTAAGTAGGTAAGACGGTCCCGATGTGATGGGACCAAAACTTGCCTAGGAATTTTGGGACTGTAGCCTCAGCTCTTCTGGAGAACATCATGTTGGAGAACATCATGGGGCAAAGCTTAATTCTAAGGGTCCTCTGAAGGCCTCAAGCAGAAAACTCAAACCCTGATGAGAACTGACATTGCCAAAATAGTTGTAACCACAATCGGCCAAGTTATCAGACTCTTGTTAATTTTGGATACAAACAGGGTTACTTGACCAAGTGACCAACATGGAGACAAGACATTGAGACAACACAATGCAAATCACACAAGATGATTAATGCAAGAGACTATGGAACAACTGATTACCATGAACGGTCAAGACTGCTGTGGTCTTCTGATCTCCACACAAACAGGAGTAATCTCCCGAGTCTACCACCTTCAGACCTCGAATCAACAACTCAGCAACAGGACCTTCCTGCCTCATTCTGTATTTATCGCTTGGCTTTAGAGTTTGTGATCCTTTCTTCCACTGTACCTCAGCCCCAGCTTTAGACATCTCACAATGGAGAGTAGTGGTGGCATCTTCAACAGCTTCCCGGTTCTTCAGCCCTTCTTTGAAAAGAACGGGCAGAGCTGAGAAGGTGGCAACAAGGACAGAGTTGAAAGGTAAGCATGGAGGACAAAGAGATGGAAACCACAGGACATCATACTGTACAAGCATGGAAGTCCTACCACTCAAACACAACAAAACAAGAACTTATGGATTGAGAGAACATGGTGTGCTAGACATTTTTGTAAAATTATTGTCTAGTGGGATGCTTTTCAGGGACACACTGGGAAGACAAATAATGGTGTGATGTTTAAAGCATATGGACATTTCTGACATTCCACATTTACCCAAGAAAGATTCTGTCCCTGATTCCTTGAGGGCCTTCTTTACTCAACCATAACGACTCTTGAGTTCCAAGCATTGGAAAAGTGGTTGAACATACATATTTCGGTCTCTCCCATAACTGAAGCCCTTTTGAAGGGCCTAAATTGAGGGAAGTTCTTATGAACACTACGACAGTCTCAACTCTTAACAAGAAAAATCTTAAATGTTTGGACATCTTCAGAAAGGTGGATTTTTTAATTAAAAGATTAAAATGTGGTTGATGAACTAAGCTTTGGTGATATCTACATAAGCTGGGTGATTCTAAGACAGTTGATGAAAGATTGTCAGCATACATAATCTGGCACAAAGATCAGGACTTCAGGAGAAACTAAAAGACTGAGAAAGACCAAGAGATCAAAGGAACCAATAGAAGAAATATATATACGGAGAGATAAAAGTTTACCCTTGATTTCTAAAGTTGCTGTGGTTTGCTCTTCTCCAGATATACAAGCATAGATTCCAGAATCTGCTACTTCCAAGTTCTGGATTACCAATTCAGCAATTTTTCCTTCTTGTTTCATTTTATACTTGCTTCCTGACTTAAGGATCTTGTGTCCTTTCTTCCATTCTATAGGAGCAGAGGTTTTGTTCAGCTCACACTGGAAAGTAGCATCTTTCCCTTCCATAGCTTCTTCGTCCTTTAAGGATTTGGTGAAAATGACTGGCAGGGCTGAAGAATGAAGAATGATAGGACAGAAGTCCATCAGGGTTAGCTGGGAGCGCCAACAACTCCTTCCTTAGCAAATAATTGAGTAAATTAATCACGAAGCATAATTCAATCTAATCATTGACCTTAATGGGTTACTGTATGATGTCTGTCGAATCCCTGCTGATTCCCATCTTGTCAGAAATTACCCTCCAATTTATGGAATTTGTTATCTGGAATTCTTGCAAGTGTGGCTTGGCTTTATTGTTTGATGTAAAAATTGGAGTGGTAAAAATAGAAGGGTGTATTGGTCTTGAGAATACAGGTAATCCTAAATTTACAACCACATTTCAGCCCAAACTTTGTTGCTGAGTTGTTCGTTGAGTTTCTCCCCATTTGATGACCTTTGTTGCCACAGTTGTTATATGAATCTGGCTTCCCCGTTGACTTTGGTTGTCAAAAGATCGCAAAGGAGGATCACACCACTCCGGGACACTGAAATGTCATAAATCTGTACCAATCCAAATTTGTATTATGTGACCATGGACATGCTGCAATGGCCATAAATGTGAAACATGACCTTTAGTCAGTTTTTTCAGGGTCTTGCAACTTCGGTCACTAAATGAATGGTTGTAAGTCAAGGACTACCTGTACCAATGATCATATGGATTCCAATGTATAGAATGAATTAAGGAGAGTGAGGGCTGATGGTTGGACTTTCCTAACCTTGGCAATTTCCAGCAGTGTGGACTTAAACTTCCAGAATTCCACAGCCAACAGGTGCGTTGATGAGAATTCTGGGACTTGAAATGCACACACTTAAAAAATTTCCAAGGTTGGGAAACACTAGATTAGACCACTGAGATAGGACTAATTTTTTAGCTAGAATGTCTGTATAAATAATATGTGGTTCTTTAAAAAAAAAGTAGACATTTGTCTGCAGTTTCAAAAAGACTGCATAGACAGGATGCCGTTAATTGCATCAGCCCTAATTTCAGTTAAACAGCTTTATGCTCATTTAGAACATAAACATAGAACCATAGAGTTGGATGGGGCCTATGAGGTCATCTAGCTCAAACCCCTGCTCAACCAGGAGAGCCTATACCAATAATATTGTTCTGAGCAATGGCTGTCCAATCTCTTCTTGAAAAACCTCAAGTGATGTAGCACCCACAATTTTGGAATTCCACTGATTAATTGTTCTCACTATCAGGAAATTTCCTCCTTAGTTCCAGGTTGCTTCTCTCCTTGATTAGTTTTCATCCATTGCTTCTTGTCCTGCCCTCAGGTGCTTTGGAGAATAGCTTGACTCCCTCTTCTCCCTCTGAGATATTGGAAGACTGCTATCATGTCACTCTTAGTCCTTCTTTTCATCAAACTAGACATATCAAATTCCAGCAAACTGGAATAGCCTTCAACCCCTCATCATCCTTGTTGCTCTTCTCTGCACTCTTTTCAGCATCCAAAATGGATACAAATACTCCAAATGAGGTCTTACCAAGGCCTTATAAAGTAGTATTGACACTCCACGTGATCTTGATTCTATCCTTCTGTTAATGCAGCCAAGGACTGGATTAGTTTTTTGCCAGCTGCCATACACTGCTGGCTTGTATCTAAGTGGCAGTCTACTAGGACATCTATTGCTCAAAGAGTTTAACACTTTGAAACTATTAACAATGTCATTAACAGGGATTAATAGAACATTATGCAATGTTCTATTGAATGTTGTGTTGTTTGTGTTATTTTTATTTTTTCTCCCTGTTGTTACATTTTTACAGGTAGAAATCTAGGAGGATCCAGCAACATTAAAGCTGGATACTACCTACCTACATAGCTTCATAACTACCTACATAGATTCATAAATCAGGTGCAGATATGTCTTCATATCAGAGGTGGGTTCCTACCAGTCCGCACCTATTCGGTAGAACCGGTTCGTCAAATCTACCGAACCAATTAGAAGAGGTTCCACCAGTGGACCCGGAAAGCAGGCCACACCTACAGAAGAGNGTCTTAATTGTGACTGTTGTGGATTTTAAAATTGTCTGTATTGTCTTATTTATTCCCTCCCCTGTTTATTGTGAGCCGCCCGGAGTCCTTCGGGAGTGGGCGGCATACAAAACCACTAAACCTAACCAAACCTAACCTAACCTAGATGTCCTCCTCACATTCCCTCTATTGGATCTGACTATGGGGAAACAAAACGTTTTATGTACCATTCACCCTTAAGAAAGCTGAAGTCTTCGAATCGCCAACGGTGCAACTGTAATCCCCAGTATCGGCTAGTTGCAAGCAGTGGACCACCAGTTCAGCAACAGCACCTTCCAGTTTCATTTCATATTTGTTGCTGGGCTTCAGAGCCTCACTGCCCTTCCACCACTTCACAAGGGCAGGAGTTTTGGTCAGCTCACACCGCAGTGTGGCAGCCCCATCTTCAGCAGCTTCGAGATTCTTCAAGACGACTTTGAAACCTGGAGGCAAGGCTGGAGAGGGTAAAATAGGACATTTTGAGGTCATTCATCATCACAGCTGGAATAAAGCCATGAGATGCCTCTTAAGGGTTATGTATAGACTCACAGGTAGTCCTCGACATACGACCACAATGAAGCCCCAAAATTTCTGTTGCTAACCAAGGCAGATATTGTGAGTTCTGCCCCATTTGGTGACCATTTTTGCTGCAGTTGTTAAGTGAATCCCTGCAGTTGTTGAACTAGTGACACAGTTGCTAAGTGAATCTGGCTTCCCCATTGTTACAAGGTCTCAAAAAACGATAACATGACCCCAAGACACTGAAACCGTCATAAATATGAACCAGTTGCCAAGCATTTGGATTTTGATCATGTGACCATTGGGAATTCTGCAACTGTCGTAAGTGTGGGAAATGGTCATAAATCATCTTTTTTCAGAGCTGTTGTAATTTTGAATAATCGTTAAACAAATTGTTATAAATTGAGGACTATGTGTAGTCTCCTAAATCCACACTCCAAAAGCAGATATAAATTTTCTATGCTTTAGCAGCAAAATGGTACAATTAATTGGACTAGATCAATATTTCTCAACTTTGGAAAGTTTAAGGTGGGTGAAACTGAGCTCCCAGAATTCCCCGGGGGGATGTTGGACTAGATAATGTTAATAGTCCTCCTATAACTCTAAGTTTCCAACTGAAAATTAAAAGAATAGGAGCTCAAGTTGTAACAGAAAGCGATAGATGTAGAAGCTAGAGAAGCTGGAGGGGGGGGGGAAAAAACCCACTCAAATTGTGGATTGTTTCCAAAAGTGGCCTAAAACTCTAAAGAGATACCCAAAATTATAGGGTCCTTGGTGCTTTTTTTGCAGCCGTTTTATGACTCAACTAGGTAATATCATCAGTCCTAGCACTGATCACTTATCACTCATCATTAGCACTGATGATTTTACCTACCTGTGTCATGAAATGGCTGCAAGAAAACAACCCAGCTCAGAGAGCAATAGGAACCCCATAGACTTCCTCCTCTTCCTCTTTTTTTTCCTTTTTCTCCTCCTCCTCTCCACAACCTCATCCCTTCTAACACTGATGGTGTTACCTAGCTGTGTCATGGAACACCTTCAAAAAAGCCATCAAGTTCAAAAAGCACCAAGGAACCCCACCCCTGCATAACACCCCCCTGCATACCCCCAACCCTTCTAGCACTGATGGTATTCCCTAGTTGGGTCATGAAACGTCTGCAAGAAAACCACTAAGCCACGGGTGTCAAACTTGCTGTGTCACGTTTCCATCATGTGATGTATCATGACATTTCCCCCACTTTGTGGAGCTGGGGTGGGCATGACCTGCGCGTGACGCATCCAGCCCATGGGCTGCCAGTGACACCCCTGCACTAAACTCAAAGATTATCAAGGACCCACTGTTATCATTGTCCTCCTTCTCCTCTCCACTTCCTCCTCCTCTCCACAAGCCCCACATTCCCTCCACCACTGATAACATTTCCTAGCTCAGCAAGCACCAAGGACCCCACAATTCATCCCTAAGCTACAGATATTCTCAAAGAATATTACCAATGCCTCCTTTTAATCAGAAAGAGAGAGGTGTCATATTTACCCTGCACTGTGACAGAAGCTGATGTGGTTTGATCTTCACAAATGCAGGAATATTCTCCTGCATCCTCTTCGGTCACGTCCTGGATTGTGAGTTCTGCAACGTTTTCTTTCTGTTTGATTTTGTATTTTGCACTCGGCTGGAGCACCTGTGCGTCTTTTCTCCAATCCACCACGGCAGTTTTATTTAATGCACAATGCAGAACAGCCGTTCTTCCTTCCAATACCTCTTGGCTTTTGAGTTCTTCTTGGAAACGCACGGGTAGAGCTGTGGAGCATAACACCGACAGAGTGTGGGTCGTTTTAAATTTCAGAATTTTGAGATTTCCAGCAAAGTAGCTTTTCCAAGAACGCAACTTGAAAGGGACTCAACCATGAGCATCTGAAGGTTGGGATTGTGACACAATTTGCATAACAAGTTATCACTTGTATGGACATCATCACTTCTATTTGCATGATGATATCATGGTGTAAATAATGACGACGTCATTGTACAAATGCAAATGCAAAAGAGCCAAGGTGGGGCAGTGGTTAAATGCAGCACTGCAGGCTACTTCAGCTGACTGCAGTCCTGCAGTTCGGCTGTTCAAATCTCACCAGCTCAGGGTTGACTCAGCCTTCCATCCTTCCGAGGTGGGTAAAATGAGGACCCAGANTCAAGGTTGACTCAGCCTTCCATCCTTCCGAGGTGGGTAAAATGAGGACCCCGGATTGTTGTTGGGGGCAATATGCTGACTCTGTAAACCGCTTATAGAGGGCTGAAAGCCCTGTGAAGCGGTATATAAGTCTAACTGCTATTTCTATTGCTAAGTCCATACTTAGACATGAAAGCCAGCTGGGTGAATTTGGGACAAACACTAGGAGACTGCGAGTCACAGTCCTTACTTAGGCATGAAAGCCAGTTGTGTGAATTTGGGACAAACACTAGGAGATTTGGAGTTCTAGTCTGCTTCAAAGAAAACGTACCATGCACAGATAACGTGGCAGATGTGGTTTGGTCACCAATGGTACACGAATATTTGCCGCTGTCTAGGAGTTGCAAGTTATGAATGAGTAACTCGTGCTTGCCCCCATCCTGTTGGATATCATATTTGGGGCTAGGGTGGATTCCTGCACCGTCTTTGCACCATTCCACAGGGGCTTTAGTGACTGTGACCTCGCAGTGTAATCTGGCTGTGCTTCCCTCGTCCGCTTTCTCATCGTTCAACTGTTGCGTGAATTCAACTTTGATGGCTGTGTGGTCAAAAGGAATGGGAGAAAGTAAAACAAGACCCCACTTCTATTAAGCTCAGAAATTATTAACTAAGCTTCCATCAAGTTCAGAGATCAACAAGGACTCCATATTCCCATTCTCCTCTAGTCCTGATGATGTTACCTAGTTGAGTAATGAAACATCTGCAAGAAAACCTCCAAGCTCACAAAGCACCAAGGACCCCACAGTCCTCTTTCTCTTCTCCTTCTCCCTCGCCTCCTCCTCCTCCTCCTCTCCGCAAACACCCCTCCCTTCTAGCACTGATAATGTTACCTAGTTGAATAATGAAACATCTGGAAGAAAACCACCAAGCTCAGAAGCACCAAGGGCCCCAGAATTCAACCCTGTACTACAAATATTGTCTTCTATCGAGACTACCAACTATTTTGAACGCCTGTATGAATCAGACCAAGGAAGATTTGGCTCATTTGTTCTATCCAGAAGACACTCTGATTCGTTTCAAGCATTACAAAGTCTTCGGTTTGATTTACAATTCTGTGCCACAAATGGCAGAAAATAGAATCATTTTTTAAAAATTAAAAAAAAATGATTCAATAGCTCAAATCAGCTTCGCAATTCTACTTGGAAAGTCAGCTCAATTCAGAAACAAAATTCAGCTGAATATTTGCACAGCACTATTGTGAGGCTAATTGTGGAACAGGTTTATTTCCAATTTGATTTCAATGACACATCTGAGCAGAACTTCACTGAATTAGAATTTCCCAGTAGATGGACAAATAATGAAATTTAAGTCCCTCTTTTTCTATTTTGTTAGCTACATTGCAGAGAGAAACCTACTTCCTGCCTCAAGGTCGAACATGGTATTCATATTTATTTTTTAAAAACATTAACTAATGATGCTTAAAATCTAAAAGATAGTTTCAAGCAGAACAAAATTCAAACTGAAATGTGTCTTTTCATCCTCTCATATCATTATAAGAGTCATACAAGTATGATGAGCCATGAGAAATTTCATAAATAAGTAAAAAATATTTTGAATTTTCAGAACAACAAATAACATTAAGAAGGCCTCTTTGGCTTTGATAGAAAATGAAAGTTGTTAAAATATCAAAAATCAAACATAAATTTCCTTGAATTTGGGGTTTTTGTAATCGCAAGGGCCTATCACACTTTTACTGTAAATCCAAATACAAGTAGTCCTCGACTTATGACCACATTTGAGCCCAAAATTTCTATTGCTAAATGAGACATTCGTTAAATGAATTTTGTCTCATTTTACAACCTTTCTTGCCACATGAATGAATCACTGCACTTGTTAGGTTAACAACATGGCTGTAAAGTAAATCTGGCCTCCCGCTGATTTTGCTTGTCGGAAGGTCGCAAAAGGGGCCCACACAACCCCGGGACACTGTAGCCGTCATAAATACGAGCCAGTTGCCAAGCATCTGAATTTTGATCACATGACCAAGCGGAATGCTGCAAAAGTTTAAGTGTGAAAAACAGTCATAAGTGCCTTTATTCTGAGCCATAGTAACTTTGAATAGTCACTAAATAAACGGATATAAGTCGAGGACTACCTGTAAAGACTTTTACTGCTGAAAGGGTTTCCAGAGAAAATTCCACAGATTGATCTGAAAATTTATATTATGCAATGTTGCGTTCAAAAAATAATGCAGATTAAAAATGTTTCTCCATCAAGCATTGTCCACTTAATTAAATGCTGAACAGCTGATGTTTGAAATCAACCAAGCTCAGAGAGCACTAAGGAACCCACAGTTTACTTCCGCCACCTCCTTGAAACCGGGAAATTGGGAGTTCTAGTCTCGCCTTAGCTACGAAAGCTGGCTGGGTGACTTTGGGCCAAACACCAAGTGATGGTGAGTTCTAGTCTGCTTCAAAAAACACACATACCTTGCACAGATAACGTGGCAGACGTGGTTTGGTCTCCAACGATGCACGAATACTTGCCGCTGTCTTGGGGTTCCAGGTTATGAATGAGTAAATTGTGGATGCCACCATCTTGTCTGATGTCATATTTGGGGCTAGCGTGAATCCTTACACCGTCTTTGCGCCATTCTGTTGGGGCTTTAGGGACTGTCACTTCACAACGTAATCTGACCTTGCTGCCCTCATCTGCTTTCTCATCCTTCAGCCGCTGCGTGAATTCAGGTTTCAGGACTGCAATGTCAAAATGGACAGAAGTAAAAATAAGAGTATAATTCTTTCATTAAGTGGCAGTTTCCACCAATTTCTGAAAAATAAAATCTTGGGGAAAAATGGTTGTATGCATGTCTATATATATGCACAATCTCCCGGATTCTAGGAGGAGGTAAACAGAGCAAAATTTAAAAAATTAAAATGTGACAGGGATGATAAGATGAAAGTTTAAATTCATATATATATATGAATATATATATGAATATATATATGANCCCGGAAAGCAGGCCACACCTACAGAAGAGGTTCCAAAAAATTTTGAAACCCGCCACTGCTTCATATCCACTAACATATCTACTAAGCTTGTAGCTGAATTTAGATTCAGATCCCTATTTCAACATATTATTCATCACACTAAACTTTGAAAGTTGCAACAAGGAGAAATACCTTATTTAGGTCATCTAACATGGAACTAAGACTATTCAACTGAAGTTATCTTGGTTGGGAGTTAAGAGCTCTAGCATCCAACAAAATAACCTCTATTCCTTGAAAATGATGTAGATAGAAACTCCTCAACATGGTATACCCCTCAAAGTAGGAGGGGTGAGATTAGGAAGAAGAGGATGAATACAAAAATATGATTTTTCAAATTTATGAAAGGTGCTGTAATGGCAAAGTGTAGAATCGGGGCTTCCTTGTTTCTCAAATGCACTAGGTATGGAGAAAACAAGAAGGGAGCATGAAGTTGGCAAAAGTGCCAATGCAATCCTGGGCTGCATCAACAGAGGGATGGAATCAAGATAATATTAAGTGTTAACAACACTTCATAATATCTTATTAAGACCACACTTAGAATATTACATCCAGTTTTGGTCACCATGATACTAAAAAGATGTTGAGACTTTAGAAAAAGTGCAAAGAAGAGCAACAAAGATGACTAGGGGACTGGAGGCTAAAACAGTTGCAGGAATTTGGTATAGCTAGTCTAGTGAAAGGAAGGACTAGGGGCAACATGATAGCAGACTTCCAATATCTAAGGTGTTGTCACAAAGAAGAGGGGGGCAAACTTATCCCCCAAGATATCTGACAGCCAGTCAAGAAGTAATGGGTGCAAGATTATCAAAGAGAGAACCAATCTAGAACTAAGGAGAAATTTCCTAAGAGCAAGAAGAATTAATCAGCGGAACATCTTGCCTCCAGATGTTGTGGGTGCTCTATCACTGGAGGCTTTCAAGAAGAGACTGGACGGCCATTTCTCTGAAATGGTATAGGGTTTCCTGCTTGAGCACTGGGTTGGACTAGAAGACCTCCAAAATCCCTTCAAACTCTGTTGTTCTGCATTCTGAATTGCTCTGTTGCAGCTGATTTCCTGGACAAGTTTAAAGAAGGTCTTCTCTTTGTGGCTCCTACAAATTTTTTGATGTCCCCAAAGGAATGCTGAGGAAGAGGTGTTTTGACCTCTACCTTTGGAAATTGAAAGATTTTAAAGACTCAAGACACCCTTTATGAGACTGCAAGATTGATGGTGACAAGTCAAAGATTGGTTTAAGAAGAAGCAGCAAGTTAGATGCAGAAAGATAAGCTGTGATGCTGAGCTTCATTGGAGAACACTAGAAAATATAGGACTTTAAGATACAATGGTTTAAGGGTGATATGTATACTTTTTTACCATTTATGGTCAATTTAGCTGTAGTCCTCTGGGCTCCACATTTGCAAGTATAATCTCCAGAATCGGTGACATCCAAGCCTTGGATCACCAGTTCAACACAAGAACCTTCCTGTTTTAATTGGAATTTTCTATCCGGTTTCAGCAGCTTAGATCCCTTGTACCATTCCACAATTGCTGCTTTATTCAGCTTACACTGAAAAGTGGCTGATTCCCCTTCGGTCACTTCCTTGTTTTTTAGTTCTTCTTGGAAAAACACAGGCAGGGCTGAAGGACGCGACATGGAGAAAGACAGGATCAAATTATTGAATGAATTCGATCTCAATGGGTAAAATCCTTGCAACGTTTGAAACATACTGTGAGAAAATCAGGAAACTAAAACAAGGTTTATGAAACTTTGGAGAAGATCCTTCTTATGAAACTACAATAAACGTGATCGCATTTCCGGTGATTGATGAAAGAACTTAACTATCAGGAGCAACCAAGAAACGCAAAGAAGATCAGTTGCAAAGACTTATTACCATTCACTTTCAAAGTTGCTTTGGTCTTCTGGTCCCCACACATGCAAGTGTAACTTCCAGCATCTGGGACTTCCAGATCTTGGATGGACAGCTCAGCAAAGCGTCCTTCTAACCTCATTCGGTACTTCTCGCTCGGTTTCAGTACTTTTTCATCCTTCAGCCACACGACCAAATCCACAGCTTTGGTCAACTCGCAATGCAGAGTGGCGGTTCCACTTTCGGTCACCTCCTGGTTTTTCAGTTGAGTTTTGAATTGTGCAGCCACGGCTGAGGGACACAGGAAGATACCACATCAACAGAAACAAGTTATGGGGGAAACTATCTCTCACACACGTGATGTTCAAGAGTGACATCCGTGGACTATCATCTTCTGTGTTCTCAACAATTGCAACCCATTCCAACTTTGGAAGGTGGTTCCCAAAGTAGACTTCCCCTAAGGTTGAAAGCTGAATGCTCTCAAGACAGAATTATTTGGAGAAACAGGATTCAGCCTTTCTTAAAGCAGACACAAGGACTATTTTCATCTGCTCTACTAATGCCAATCCTCAGAAACCATTTGCAAAGCACCATTTCCTGCCAAGCTAAAAAGGAAAGCAGAAATCTTGAGGCCAGAAGGATGCAGAAGGTCAAGGCAAAAGAGAGTAGACCAGATGGTCAAAGGGTATAAATATTGAAAGGGTATAAATATTTTGGGGGGGGGGGTTGTTTAGGAATACCTCCACAAGATAAGCAAAGCTGCGCTTTGATTTGGCATTTTTTACCATTCACGGTTAAGACTGCAGTCGTCTGTTGGTCTCCAGAAATGCAGGTATAATCTCCAGCATCTTTCAGGTCCAGGTCATGGATTGTCAACTCAACGATGGCACCCTCTTTCTTCATTCGGTATTTGCTGCCTGGGCGTAAAGTTTTTTGTCCTTTCACCCACTCCACCGGAGCGGGTTTATTTAACTCACAGCGGATAGTAGCTACTCCACCTTCCAGAGCTTCAGCCTTCTTCAGCTTTTCTTTAAAACTGACGGGCGTAGCTAGAGGATGAAGGGTTAGAGACAGAGAAATGGAGTGCGTGCAAAAACACAAGAAGTTCACTTACAAAATATTAGAGTCAAGTTATATTATAAATAAGATCAAATCAGAAAATACATCAAACGTAAGGAAAACGAGTAAGAGCTTTGATTGCACCCATTTGACCACCCCCTTTAATTACACCTGTTTCTAGCCCCAGAACACAGACAGATAGCCATGAGGAGCTGTTAAGACAATACAGGGTGGCAGGGAGATCTTTTTGAAGCAACTGACTTAAAGAAGAAAGCAAGATCCCTTTAAATTGACTGTGAGGAGAAATAGAGAGTGGGGGAGAGAGGGAGGGAAAGAAAGAGAAAGAGAAAGGTGATAGAGGGATAGAGGCATGGGTGAGTGGGTGGGTGGGTGATGGACAGATGATAGGAGAGAGAGAGAGAGGGAGGGAGGGAGAGAGAGAGAGAGAGAGAGGAGAGAGAGAAGAGAGAAGATATAATGACATTTGTGAATGAAACATGAGGGAAAGATATCTCGAGATAAAGGGGCATGGGAAGCATTACAGAAGAGACCTCCCCAGTTTTCCAGGTGGGGAGAAATATTTTCGGGTTTGTAAAATTCTGTTCATATAAGCTGCTTTTTCAAGAAGCAACAGGGCTTCCTTCTTTATCTTTGAAAACATTTTGCTTCTCATCCAAGAAGCTTCTTCAGTTCTGACTGAATTGTGGAAGATGGAAGGATTTATACAGGTAGTCCTCGACTTACAACAGTTCATTTAGTGACCATTCAGAGTTACAATGGCACTGAAAAAAGTGACATGGCTATTTTTCACAGTTGCAACCTCTGAAGCATCCCCATGGTTCGGGTGATCAAAATTCAGATGCTTGGCAACTGGTTCATAGTTATAATCGTAACTGTGTCCCAAGGGCATGTGATCCTCTTTTGCAACCTTCTGACAAGCAAAGTCAATGGGGAAGCTAGATTCACTTAACAGACAAGTTACTTACTTATCAACTACAGTGATCCACTTAACAACTATAGTAAGAAGGGTCATAAAATGGGGCAAAACTCACTTAACAAATGTCTCAGTTAATAACAGAAATTTATGACAATCGGGGTCATAAATCGAGGATTACATGTATTCCTTCCAGTCATCTGGTCATTAGCACTAATGACCAGATGACTGCAAGGAATATAAATCCTTCCGTCCTCCACCATTCAGTCAAAACTGAAGAAGCGTCTTGAATGTCAAGGAAAAACAAGGTCCAGTTTCCTTCTGAAAATGCACCTTTGGGATAACTATGACCTGGGTGAACTGAGAATCCCCACAGACATTTAGACATGGAAAAGGCAAGAGAAGATGAGGAATACATCCACCATCTTTCCCTACCGTGGACTTTGATCTGAGCTGTGCTCTGCTTCTCTCCCACATCACAAGTATATTTTCCTGCATCCTCTGGTTGCGCGTGGTGAATCAGCAGCTCAGCCACACAGCCGTCCTGCTTCATCTCGTACTTCTCGCTCGCCCGAAGGAGAGTTGCACCTTTCTTCCATGCCACTGTGACCCCTGGCGCGGCGAGGGTGCAGCGCAAACCGACCGTCTCACCCTCTTTCTTTTCCACATCCTTAAGCTCTTCCTTAAAAACGGCAGGGGCTGCTACAAGGCACGATCGGGATAAGGGGGACAAAGTGAGGTTTTGGAGGAAAACTTGCACATGAGCTGATATGGCAACAGGAAGCAAATTGGGTTGTATGCGGAAACACGGCCCACTCAGTTTGGGCAGCAGCAGAGGGCAATAAATAAATCTTCTAAATAAATAAAGCACCTAGCACTTATCTAGCTGGATGAGAAAAGAAACAGCCAAGTTCAAAAAGCACCAAGGACCTTAGAGTCCTTCTTGTCCTCCATCTCCTCTTCTTCCTCTGCATAACCCTCCATCCCTTCCAGAACTGATGACGTTACCTAACTGGGTCATGAGATGTCTGAAAGAAAACAGCCAACTTCAGAGAGCACCCAGGGAATGAGATATGAGATATGATGAACTGAATGAAATATGAGATGATATGAGATATAAAATTGAGACGTGACATGAGATTGAAAAATAAGGTATGAGATATGAGGTATGAGATTGAGAAATGAGATATGAGGTATGTCATAGAGATATGAGGTATGCGATATGAGGTATGAGATTGAGATATGAATGAGATATGAGGTATGAGATATGAGGTATGAGTTTGAGAAATGAGATATGAGATATGTCATAGAGATATGAGGTATGCGATATGAGGTATGAGAGTGAGATATGAATGAGATATGAGGTATGAGATACGAAATTGAGATGAGATACAAGTTATGAGACATGATATATGAGCTATGGTATGAAACATGAGGTATAAGGTTGAGATATGAATGAGGTATGTGATATGAGATGAGATGCAAGTTATGAGACATGATATATGAGGTATGAGATATAAGAAATGAAATACGAGGTATAAGATTGAGATATGAATGAGATATGAGAGGAGGTATGAGATATAAAACTAAGAGAAGATACAAAATATGACACGTGAGATATGAGATATGAGGTATAAAATTGAGATATGAATGAGATGTGAGGTGTGGGATAAGATTGAGATCTGTGTTATGAGTTTTGAGATGCGAGATATGAGGTATGAAATATGAGATGAGATATGAGGAATGAGATACAAGATATGAGATATGAGAATCGGGTATGAGATATGAGATTGTGATGTGAGATATGAGATGAACTTAAGCAACGCCCTTCTGAATTGGACCCATCTAGTTCAGCCCTCGGTTCTCACAGAGGTCCACCATTGTCCAAGCAAATCATCTAGGCCTTGTCATAAAACCAAGAGACACCTGCACTTGAGAAAACACTGGAATCCCTTTCTCTCGAGACCCTGAGATTATCCACCCAATTTTTCTCTAGGAAGGAATACCATTACGTCCAGAACCGCTTTCAATACTGGCAAATATTAGCAAAGGTCTCCTACCTGTCACCTCCACCTGTGCAGAGGTCTTCAGGTCACCACTTTTGCAAATATATTCCCCTGTATCCGACGGCTTTGCATCTCGGATGACAAGCTCGGCCACAGGACCTCGTTGCTTGAAGTCATATTTGTCCCCTGCTTCCAGGACTACATTGCCCTTCATCCACTGCACAGGAACGTCTGGTTTGTTAAGCTCACAAGAAAGACGGACTTTACTCCCTTCCTGGGCTTCCTTGTTTTGCAGTTCTTGGTTAAAAACTACTGGCAGGCCTAAAATGCAAAAAGAGAAAAGATGGAACAGGAAAGAAGAAAAATAAACCATAAAACACCCCCCCCCACTTTTTTTACTAATCATATTGATGTACAAATAGTCCTTGACTTACAACACTTTATTTAGTGACCATTTGAAGTAACAAGGTCACTGAAAAAATATCAATAGCAATAGCAGTTAGACTTATATACCGCTTCATAGGGCTTTCAGCCCTCTCTAAGCGGTTTACAGAGTCAGCATATCACCCCCATAGTCTGGGTCCTCATTTCACCCACCTCGGAAGGATGGAAGGCTGAGTCAACCTTGAGCCTGTGAGATTAGAACCGCTGAACTGCAGATAACAGTCAGCTGAAGTGGCCTGCAGTACTGCACCCTAACCACTTTGGACCATTTTTCACACTTACGACCATTGCAGCATCCCTGGGGTCATATGATAAAAATTTGGACACTTATGATGGTTGCAGTGTCCTAGGATCATGCGGTCCCCTTTTGTGACCTTCTGACAAGTAAAGTCAATGAGGAAGCCCCCATTCACTTAACAACCTTGTGACCAACTTAACAATGATTCACCTAAGAACTATGGCCATAACAGATGTAAAATGAGGCAAAACTAACAACTGTCTTGCTTAGCAATGGAAATTTGGGGCTCAATTGTGGTCATAGGTTGAGGACCACCTGTACTGAATTAGCGACTTCTCTCTGATTTTATCTCTACATGATTGAAATCATGAGATGCTGGTCCTACCTTGCACCACCAGTTTTGCACTGGATTGGCTGTCCCCAATGTCACAAGTGTAGATGTCACTATCGTTTTCTTTAAGGTCCTTCACGAGGAGTTGCAAGACAGTTCCTTTTTGGCTGATCTCATATTTCTGGCTGGCTTGAAGGTCAACGATGCCTTTCCTCCACGTCACAGAAGAAGTTGGTTTCTTGGTTTCACAAGTGAGGGTGGCATTCTTGTTCTCCTCCACCTTCAAGTCCTCAAGATCCTTCACAAAGCAGTTTCCAGCTTCTGGAAAAGATGAAATCAAAGGCCCCATCAAACTTAAGTAAGAGAAATAAATCCATTTATTTTATTTGCTTATGTATAACCACTGGCCCATAAGCGTGAGTTCAGTTTGTGGAACTCAATGAATTGGCATCCAATTCCAGGTAGTCCTCAACTTGCAACCGTTTGTTTAGTGACCATTCGAAGTTTCAACACCACTGAAAAAAGTGAGTTATGACTGTTTTTCATGCCCATGACTGTTGCAGCTTCCCTATGGTCATGCGATGGAAGTTCAGGTGCTTGGCAACTGATTCATATTTATGACGGTTGCAGTGTCCCAGAGTCACGTGAGCAACTTTCACAAACTTCTGACAAGCAAAGTCAATGTGGAAAGCCAGATTTACTTAACAATTGTGTCACTAACTGAACAACTACAGGGATTCACTTAACAATTGTGGTAAGAAAGGTCCTAAAAAGGGACAAAATTCATTTAACAACTATCTCGCTTAGCAACAAAATTTTGGGCTCAATTGTGATAATAAGTTGAGGATTACCGGTATAGGGCCAGGGTTAGTGTTTTTGTTGCTAAATCTCTTTTGTCAAATGAGACAGTTGTTAACAGTTTTGCCCCACTTCACAACCTTTCTTGCCACAGATGTTCAGTGACTAACTGCAGTTGTTGAGTTAGTAAAAGGGTGAATCTAGCATCCCCAGAAGATCACAAAAGGGGATCACATGACCATAGAAAACAGAAACTGTCATGTTCAAGTCAGTTGCCAAGGGTGTCTGAATTTTGATCACTTGACCATGGGGATGCTGCAATGATCATAAGTGTGAAAATGGTTCCAAGTCACTTTTTTCAGTGCAGTTACAACTTCAAACTGCCACTAAACAAACAATTGTAAGTTGAGGACTACTTGCAGCCCTATCACTGACCTTCCACCGATAGCGTGGCTTTGGTTTTGGAGAATTCGATCTCACAGGTATATTCTCCACTATCTTTCACTGTGGTGTCATGGATGATTAAAATCGCCCGGGTGCCTTCCTGACGCAGGTCGTATTTTTGACTCCTCCGAATCTCCTTGCCGTCCTTCTTCCACTTCAGGTTGTTGTCCCATCTGGACAAGTCACAACTCAGGCTGACTTCACTTCCCACCAAGGTGGACTTGTTCTCCAGCTGTTTTGTGAATTCAGCTGGTTTTTCTACGGGGAACAAAAGATTGGGAAACCAAGTCAAAGAAAAGACACAAGATTTGTGACTGACTGTTGCATGTCTGCAACAATTGCAGATGGAAAAGTAAGGCTGTATTTAGGCCATGATTATGAAATGGCTGCATGGGTGCAGCCTCATGTTGTAGAAATTATCTCAAGAGGTTCCTTGGCTCTCATGATTTGGTCATGTCTTTTGAGGACTTTGTGGGGACTTCAAGTGTTTAAATATGGTAAAATAAGTAGATATGGGATAATTAGATATGGGAAAATACAGCAGTTAAATAAGCATATCTCTGTCTATCATCCATCTATCCAATAATCCATCCATCCACATCTCCCTCTCTTTCTCTCTCTCTCTCTCTCTCTCTCTCTCTCTCTCTCTCTCTCCTATCTATCATCCTACCTAAGTACCTATCCTTATATCTATCATCTCTATTATGTCTCTCCCTCCCCAAACTCTCTCTCTCACACACACACAAACTTATTTGAAAAGTTTGTGATTCTTTCTTTAAGAAAATGTTCCTGAAAAATGAAACATCTGCAAGGAAACCCCCAAGCTCAGAGATCCCACTCCCGAGGACCCCACCCTGGTTGATAGAATAGGGATAGGAATAGGAATAGGAATAGGAATAGGAATAGGAATAGGAATAGATCAGAACAGAAACAGAATAGAAACAGAATAGAAAATAAACAAGAGTTGAAAGGAACCTTGGAGGTCTTCTAGTCCAACCCCCTGCTTAGGCAGGAAACCCCATCCCATGATGATTTCGTGAGACTCTCTACTCCATTTGACTTATTTTAATACAATCATATCTCCCTCCCCACTTCGCACCTTTCACCACAAGAGACGCTTTGGATTTTAAATCACGGACGGAGAACACCACTTCGCCGGCATCGGTCACTAGGGTTTTCTTGATTGTGAGGGTGTATTTTCTTCCTTTATTGAAGGCTCGGAATCGGTCACCTTGGCTGACTTCATTCCCGTTGATCAGCCACTGGCAACCATCCAGACTCTCGTGCGAGAGGACACATTCGAAGCTACAACCTTCTCCTTCCTGCACTTCAACACCCTTTAGACGCTTTGTAATACCGATATTCAGCTCTGTGGCAAAATAAGAAGTGGATTAAATTAAAATAATTACCAGAAGTCCTTGATTTACAACAGTTCGTTTAGTTACCATCTTAAGTTACAATGCACTGAAAAAAGTGACATGGCTGTTTTTCACACCCATCATGGTTGCAGCATTTTTGTGATCAAAATTCAGACCCTTGGCTTCTAGTTATGACGGTTGCAGTGTCCCGGGGTCATGGGATCCTGTTTTGTGACCTTCTGACAAGCCAGGTCAATGGGGAAGCCAGATTCGCTTAGCAACTGTGTGACTAACTTAACAACTGAAGGGATTCACTTAACAACTGTGACAAGGAAGGTCGTAAAACTCACTTAACAAATGTCTCGCTTAGCAACAGAAATTTTGGGCTCAATTGTGGTTGTAAGTTGAGGACTACCTGTAATTAAAATTAATTTAAATTTCATTTCACATTTAACTTAAATTTAAAAATCCATTAAAATAATTAAAATAAAATAGCATTAGGTAATTCTCGGCACCCTCAATTACAACTGTCAATGAGACAGGGTCCTTGTTGTGTCAATAATAAAGGGGGCCACCATAGAAGTGTGCCTGATTTGAGAACCTTCTTGTCCTGCCTTCAGGTGCCTTGGAGAACAGCTTGACTCCCTCTTCTTTGTGGCAACCCCTGAGATGTTGGAAGACTGCTATCCTGTCTCCCCTAGTCCTTCTTTTCATTAAACTAGACATACCCAGTTCCTGCAACCGTTCTTCCTATGTTTTATCTTCCAATCCCTTAATCCTCTTTCTTGCTCTTCTCTGCACTCTTTCTAGAGTCTCCACATCTTTTCTACATCCTGGTGACCAAAACTGAATGCAGCATTCTATGTTTGGTCTTACAATCCATAATCATTTCTACAATCTTTCTAGAACTGCAATACCTCTTTTGTATCATGGTGATCAAGCACTGAGTGTACATCACTGTGAAGATAAGATCTCTCTCACACAGTGCCCTACAGTTGTGTTGCTGGACCAACTGCCATAGTCCTTATCCTATCCCAACTGTGGAACTCCCAGAGATCTGGAAGCTCACCACTGCAAAAGAATGGAGAACAATGTTCTCCTGACTCAACCATTCTGAGTTTCTCAGATTCTGCATACCTTGAATGATGACTTTGGATTTAGCGACATCTGTCCCAAGGTCACACATGTACCATCCAGTATCATCCTTGCCGAGGTCTCGGATGGTGAGTCCCAGGGTCTTCCCGGATTGCAGCATCTCATATTTATCTCCTGGGGTCAGTTCCACCCCTTCCTTCTTCCATACTGGTTTCACTTTCGGTTTTGAGACTTCACACTCCAGCGTGATGGTGCTTCTTTCCTGAGCAACCATGTCGTCCAGAGATTTCATGAAGACAGCCGGCTTCTCTGCAGAAGATGGAGTCAAAAGTGTGGTTAGAAACCATAGTTTTGGTCAGGCTCAGGTAAGTAATCTTATCAATGTTCCTCTGTTGAATTGCATGAATTGGGAGACAATTCACGCAATTCAACAGAGTGTGCAAAGATGGTGTCAGAGGTAGCAAAGATCACAATAAGTCTTTAAAAGGAAATTGCTCTGACCTGTCTGGAAATTACAATAATTTCTTGAAATAAAGTTTGCCGTAACTGTTGACTAACGAGAGGAAGTATAAGGATATTTTAGTACAGCCTTACAACTACAATTGAACCCTAAATTTCCATTGCTAAGTCGGACATTTGTTAAGTGAATTTTGCCCCATTTTACGACCTTCCTCACCACAGTTGTTAAGAGAATCATTGTAGTTGTTCTGTTAATCACATGATGTATAATTTGAATCCTGCTGCCCATTGATTTTGCTCGTCAGAAGGTCTCAAAAGGGAACCACATGACCTCAGGACACTGCAACTATCATAAATATGAACCAGTTGCCAAGCATCCAAATTCTGATCGTGTGACCAGGGGATGCTGCAATGGTTATATGTGTGAAAAATGTTCCTAAGCCACTTTTTTCAGTGCTGTTGTAACTTCAAATGGTCACTCAATGAACTCTTGTCCTCTGAGGACTGTCTGTAAGTTCTTTGTTCTAAAACACAATATGTGTTTCCTTTCTAATCAGCTTGTGTTCTAATCAGCTTACTTATTCAACTAAATAAAGTTTAAACACTGGCTGAAATATTGTACCTGGTCCTTTCCCAGGCTTATGGGGAGATTCACATTTACTCAGATCCGAATAAACATGTCACTTAGAGAGAACTGGGATCTGTTTCTTTGTCCATTCATTCTGGGCCTAACCTTGACATTGTGCAAAAGAACGTTTTATAAGTCCCAGATGTGGAATGAGTAACATGGTGTGTACCTGAACGATCCCAGATTTATTTAGCAATGAATTGCCATTAGTTTACTGACCCTTCGAAGTTACAACGGCACTGAAAAAAGTGACTTATGACCATTTTCACACTTACAACCATTGCAGCATCCCCCGTAATGTGATCAAAATTCAAAATGTTCAGCAGCTGACTTATATTTATGATGGTTGCAGTCTTCCAGGGTCACTGCAACCTTCTGACAAGCAAAGTCAATGGGAAAGCCGGATTCACTTAACAACCGTGTGACTGACTTAACGGCTGCATGATTCTCTTAACAACTGTGGCAAGAAATGCCGTATAATGGGGCAAAATCCATTTAACAAATGTTTCACTTTGCTACAGACGCTTGCAACTCAGTTGTGGTGGTAAACTGAGAACTACTTGTAGTATATGAATGCATACTGGCATATCTACAGAAGTGTATGCAGGCACACAGACACAGAAAGTGATTTTAACAGGTAACAGGCCACCCAGAAGATCTGAAATTTTTAATTCTTCAGAACATCTGTAGATGGGGAAGAAGATAAGAAAAAAATTGAGCCTGGGGAAGGGGCAGTGTGATGGGCCTGAAGCAGAGAGTACAACTAGATTATCACTAGACCAACAACCAATCCATAAACAACAGCCCAGTCAACGAACTACTGACTCTAGAGGAGACTGCCAGGACACACATCTAATAAGTAAACAAATAAACACAGATAAACAATCAAAGAGTAAACAACACCCTAAGAAAGAAACTAACTGTCAGCCTCTGCTTTGCTGTTGCTTCGACTGCCATGAAACGGGGAGGGAGGGCATGGTATTTGGGAGGGGTTACTCATTGTGCTGGAGGAAGGTTCAGCTGCCTGTCGGACTACGCGTGCGTAGGAGATTCCCACCAGGACTAACGGCACCGACATTCCATCTTCGTGATGCCTTTTGAAGTTATCTCACACCTGACACTTGAGAGAATTA